AAAAAATCGAAGGACAACGTACACCAGTACCAGGTACTACAGCAGTGCAGTATGCACCAGCGCATTAGTGTAGGGTAGGCACCGCACCAAAGAGGCAGCAGAGGTGGCAGGCAGCCAGCAAAGGAAAAAACAAAACAACAAGGAGCTCGAGGTATCGTCCAAGATCATCGTAGAGAGGGCATGGAGAACAAGAAAGAAAGAAAGAAAAGCACAAAGAGAGGTCGGAGGCAATATTAAGAACATACAGCTTACGGCAGGGAAAAGTGACCCTGGATGGTTGTAGTTGTACGAAAAAAATACACTGAAAAGTGTAGTACTCTACATACGCTGAAAAGTGTAGTGCACGTCTCACCACGAAAAATGGGGGGACTGTCGCCGTAATAAATAGGACGAAAACAGACACACCCTGAAATGGTGACAATCTATCCGCCGGGTATAGCCGTTTCTCCCGTTTCTGGTTACTCCTCTCAAAATAATTTAGGAGGCATTCCACGGACCCCCTTCTCGCCGCAGACTGCCGCAGACCACACTGGCTACTCTTTGCCGTCTGCTCCTCCCCCACAGCCCATGGCACAGGCAAGAGGAACTTTTCCAGAACAACTCACCAGGAGCGAAACAGCAGCCGATGAAGGGAGCATCTGCTCTTTCATCGTTTGATTGGTGCGACATTTGTGCTTCCATAAGCGGCACGAGCACGCCTTCACCCAACCAACAAGCCGTCTCCCGACACACACGCTCGTAGCGTGATATTCTCCGGCAAGCCGAGGACGAGCAGTGGGGATCCTTCACCTGTCACACCTTACTCTCTCCCTTTCTTGGTGAGTCGCATCCCTGCGCAGGTTTCCAGAAGTGTCGCGTTGCTGGAGAACTGAGCTCATTTCCTCGAGCAACTCCTCACGGACTGGGGCGTGGTTCCAGGATTTGTGCCCGCCGGCGGCCGCTGTCACCCTTTTTTTTGTACCGAACGTCCAAATATGGGGACATTTTGGGGACACTGCACTGAAAAGTCTGTTTGCCGCACTGTAGCCATCTGCTGTGTGAAACTTGCATGCGGAACCTAGGTCTACCATGCTTGTGTGAAGTTGTTCGCTGTTTGGTATGCTGGTGCGTGATGCCGGTGTGTCGCTCCTCGGCCTCTGACATGCTGTAAACATTTATTTCCCGAGCCGCGTGTCCCCTCTTCGTCAAAGTCTGCATCGTAGGCTTATAGGCCCATTATGCTTTTTTTTTTTCTTATTTTATGCTCCTGAAACAAGTCAAATATGCCCACGATTATGCGGTTTTTTTGCAAATATGCCCTGACCTATGCTCTAGCTATGCTTTTTTTTCTGGTGGTCATGTGCCTCAATTCGATACTTCATGCTCGCTATCCTGCTTGTTTTAGGTAGTTATGCCTCGCCCAATCTTCTCTTCGAAGCCGGAGGTGTTCTGTTGTTGTCTTTTGCTGGGTACATTGGCTGAAATTGACTGTTTTTCCTCCAAAAAAATGGGCAAACGGCAAGAGCGGCCGTTAGCTTGCAATACACTATTAGACCTGTGAATGCTCTTCATCATCCTCATCATCATGCTCTTCGTTTCGAATGTCGAAAACTCTCGACTCCTGACGTTTAAGTGGCAAACAGCACACTTTGACGCCCTCTTTCGAAAGCTTCTCCCCAATACAAAAGCAGATACACGAGCTGCGCTCACCTAAAAACTAAACAGGGAGAGACAAAAACAGTCGAGCCACCGAAGGGAAGAAGCGGCGCTACATAAGCAGCTGCAGGCAAAGTCAGCAGCACTTTTAGCAACGATGAAAGAATGCCTTCTAGCTTCTAGCACTGGAAGCCCTGTTGTACTTGAGAAGGGTTGATGCCGTAATCCGGTCGCTGAGGCACTGCTCCTGCCGCTCGTCCATGCAAGCACGAAGCAGAGAAAACACCCGTTCCATGAAAGCGGAAGAGGGTTGGATCAAAGCTACGTCCTTGGCTACATTGTACCAAGCAGGGAGTTTAAGCCTGTTGTCATGCCAGAAAGCCCACAAATCACACCCCGAGTCCGTGCCAGCCGCCGCGGTGCTGTAGAGATCCTTTTCTACTACGAGCTCATGGACCATGGCCGTTGTCACGAACGGAAATACTTCTGCTAGGACGTGTACGTCCGACTCCTCCACTCCGTGCCCCGTCACGACCCTAAAGTTCAGGATTCTCGCGGCCTTGAAGACCCGAATAGCATTGCGTTCCTTGGCTCCTGGGTGGTCCCCGATCCTGTCAAACGCGTACTGCCGGACGGCATGCATGTCGAAGAGTGCCTTCTCCCTCAGCCACTTCTTGACCGACTCCTGCAACCCATGAACAGTACAAACACACGAAGTGGGCGTCAATAGGAGGAGGTGACGTGATGGTTGTGTGTTGTGATCATGGAGGGGGCGTCATCGAACACAGCTCAACAATTTCTGGTCGCACAAGCAACTTCCACAAACGGACTCCCGAAATACTCACGTTGGCGTTCACGCTGTTGGAGTACTCCCTCACGAGCGCGTTCACGTTAGGCATGTTCACCTTGTCCTCAAACCGCGGAGGGACGTTGCTGTCCAAGGTCAGGGCCAGACCTTTGCGCACACTCACGATGGCATCGTACGCCTCAGGTAGCTATCGGTGGCAAGGGGTGACGGTACGGGAAGGGAACACATCAATAACATATAGCGGCAGATGACGAACACCGAACGACCACACCTACGAAAGGTAGGTGCGAAATATAAGGGCCTCTCGGGTAAGTGCTTACCAGGAATCCGTCTCCCTCGAGTAGATGGGTGGGACGGACCAGGTGGATCCCGACGTCCACAGCTACCGCGAATCCCAGCTGCAAGATGAGCTCCTGGTGGACACCATCCGGCCGAACACGCCCGAGCTCCTCCCTCATCGCAGCGGCCGACTTGGACCTGGACTCTTCGGTCGAGGTGAACTTGTCGACGAAGGTCTTCATCTGCTGCCAGTTCAGCACCAAGGCGTTGTTCCGCACGTAACGCGAGCTCCAGCGGTGAGAAACAGGTTTCGGAGGCGACACCTTCGTCTCCTGCAACCACAAGTCTCTAGCGTTGTGGCTATGGGCCAGGAGTACGTGCAAGTGGCCAGCGAATTTGTCGGTCTCCTCCGAGCTCAGCTCGTTGCCACAGTTGTTGAGGAGGTGGGAGAAGCACCGAACGCCGACAGCGTTCGGGAAGTTCAGCAGCAGCGTGTCCAGGGCCTTCATGTTGGCGCCGCATCCGTCGAGCATGAAACCGACGCACTTGCTGCGGTCTATTTTGTACTCGTCCACCGTGATCTTCATGACTTCGCCGTGGATGGCCTTGAAGTCCATGGACTTGCTCAGCATGCTCAAGTTAAGCACTCGCTGGGTGATCTGCCGGCAAAAAGGCATGAAGAACGAGAAAGAAAGCGAAAGAGAGAGAGGCAGGGAGGGCGGGGGAAGGAGAAAGAGACGAATCAGAAGAGAGGTTTGAAACAAAGCGACCTTGTGCATGACTTTTTCACGAACCATTCGTACGGTACCCTACCCTCCAGCTGAAAAGCACGTATCACCTCCCTACGCGAATTGAACCATCTACATCACGGCACAACCTAGTACCTGTCCTTCCTTGTTGACGAAACGGATACCAATCCCGAAGCACGCAGCGCGGTACGGCGTCTCGTCGAATGTGATCGCATACCGGGAGTCCCCAACCTCGTCGAGAATCCGCTGCTTCTGTCGTGCAGGGGACACATTGGGAGTCGGGCCGTTCGACGATTGCACGAGTGGTAAGGGACAACATTTTTCACGCGTTGATTCCAAGAGGCGGGTAAGTTACAAACTTGCCAAATAAATACAGACACAAACTCGTTGCGGTCATGTCGACGATCCAAGGCAGCCCCGTATGCAAGACGGCTCGGCCTCACCTCCTTTTTCTCGATGAAAGGGATGTAGTTGGCAAGGTGCCGTGCTCCCGGCAGCCTCGCCCCCAAGTGGTGTAGGAAATCCTTCATCAGTGAATTCTCGAGGGCGTTGAGAGGGACCCCGGCAGACAGGCACGCCTCGACTGCCATGAACTGCGTCGCCTGTTCTTTGGGAGGAAGCTTGCTGCCGTAGCTGCCTCCGAGCAAGTCAGAGTACTCTCGGAAATTATCCAGAGACGCCTGTAAAGGCGAAAGATAACCGTGCGTTCGAGCAAAGTCGTGTTCAACAACGTCAGTCCCGGAGTTTAGTGTTGGCCATTTCGTTTTGGTACTATCTAGCACTTGGCAACAGCGTCATCAGCGAACAAACGTATAAAAACAGAGCAGCGGCACGGCAATATACTCCTATATGACAGCGTGAGCCGCGAAACACAAAGCGAAGGAAAAAAAACACCGTGAAGTCAGACGTCCCTTCTGTGCTACACTGGTTGATCCACTGTTGAAATATACAAACAATAAACAACGGCAATCAGCAGCAGCACATTTAAAATAGCATGGACGAGTACAAAAACAAAAGTACACTAGGCTAGACTAGTCTAGTGTATTAAAAATATTTTGCACATGTAGACTCCAGCACCACAAAGCACGATAGTGTGCTGCTGTGTAGAGCTACAGTATCCAGCCTAGTCTTCTATCGCTTGAAAAAAAAATACCTGCTTTGCTTCTTTCTTCCGGCGGTAGTCCTTCGTTGCCTTGCCGTGCTCCACGCCGGACACGTGGTTCCTCACGGTTGATTTCTTCTTCATGTCTATCGGCTTGTTGCAGGCCGCGCACGTGAGGACGCCGCAGCGAACTTCCAGAGTGTGGTTCGGAAACTCCTTCAGCCTGTCGTAGGCACTGATTCTCGATCTGACAGCGCGCTGCTTCCCCGCCGCGGCCGATGATAACTTACGCTTGCGCTTGCTGCCCACCGTTGCCTCCTCCTCCTTCTCCTCTTCCTCGTCATCCCCCTCCTCACCATCATCGACGCGTTGTTTCCTCCGTTCGCGGTTTACCCTCACAACCCTACGCCTATCGATGTGGGACGCTCGAGCGGGTGCTGTCGGGTTCGCCGCTGCTGCCGCCACCTCTTGCTGGCGTGTCGTGTTGCGCTTTCGCTGTGCGGCGTTTGCGTTGGGCAAAAAGCTGAACATGCTTTGCTGAACCGCACCCGCCGCACCACGGGACGAGGGATCTTTTGGTGGGGGATCCCTCGTATCCTTTTCTGTCGCGGGAGCACGACCTGTTGGGTGCGATCTGCTGTGGTTGGAGGTCTGCACGATCTTTTGAACCTCTGGCGCATCAGACTCCGAGCTAGAAGAGTTCGAGCTTGAGCTTGAGCTTGAGCTGGAGCTTGAGCTGGAGCTGGAGCTGGAGCTGGAGCTGCTGGAGTTAGAGCTGGAGCTAGAGCTAGAAGAGCTGGAAGAGCTAGAGCTTATCGCCGAGCGCGCCATGACATCCGCAGGGGAAGCCCGTGTGTGTGCGTGCATGTGCGCGCACGTTGCTGGCTGCTTAAAAACACTTGTCCATTATTATCTCATCGTTTGTCTCTGTTTATGTCGAAGTACCCGAATAATCGAACGATCGAACACCAGGCGCCCTCAGGCCATGTGTCAAGCACCGAAATGCCCTTATCTATGAGCGTTATGCTCATTATGCAGCAGTGTATGCTCGTCGCGCGTACATATATGCTCCTTCGGGGCTGAAATATGCTCGAGCATTGCTCCTTTTTAGTTATGCTTTTTCTTATGCTCAAAAGGGCCATTTATGCTAAAAGCTATGCCCGCATAATGGGCCTAAGCCTACTGCATCGCCTAGGTCTGCAAAAATGTGGTGACTTGGCTTCAGCATAGAAAACTTCCCAATGCATTTAGGGGACACGTTTATGTCTAAAACCAAGTCATTCTTTGTCCCTGTACAGCCTCTCCCAATGAGCGGATGCGTTTATTATCAGGACGAATAACCTGCAACTATGCAGCTAGGTTCTTCGAGGGTCAACCATTGCTGAACACCCGACAGTTTGAGTGATTCAGCGAGGCTTCTGGTCAGTGGTCGAGGAGAAAGCTTGACAAGCAAAGTATGGGTCGGACCACAGACCCGCCTCATCCACTCTACAATACTTCGATAAACGATAGGGATTGATCCTAGGCTAAGCAATAATGCAAAAGGTAAAATCGGGTCTACGAACGAATTCGAATTCGGCACGAACAGGGATCTATGTAGATGTTGCCCCGACAGCATGTTGAAATTTTGCATAAAGCAGATATTTGTCTTTCTCCCTACCGTAAATACGCGAGAGCACCGGGTAGGAAAGTATTACTTTAGTCTACTGTAGACTGTTTCGGACTGGAGAATCTTTCAGAAGGACCTCCTGTGCGACCAGACAGAGGCACTGGACCCACCCTAGACAAATGACCAACCACATGGCTAAAGACACATCATATACCACCTTAGAGCTGCAGACATGCGGAGCGTTTTGGGCTAGCGCGCTCTCTGCCTGTTGAACCGCTAACTTGATCTAAGTAAGCACGCCAATCATCAGAGCAGCTAGTATGTAGAGAGAGAAAGAGCTAGGTCTGCCAGGGATTGCGATTCGCTGCTGCTGCTGCTGCTGCTGCTACTGCTGTACATGGACAGGCAGGCAGGCAGGCAACAATAACGGCAAAACACAAACACCCTTTCGCAGCAGTAGGTTCATGCTCCGCCATGAGTGACAAGGAGGACCTTCGCAGCCCGGCTTCGGGTTTTGCGTGAGTCATCAGGCCGGAGTTGTTTGCAAGCGTTCTCCTGCCCTTGATCAGGTTTCGCCCCACCATCAGCAATGGCAAAGACATTCCGCTCGAGATGGCACCCGGTTGCGTGAGGGTTGTGTCCGCGGTGTGTAGCTTCAATAGTTTTAGGTTCATTGCGTGTACCCTCTTCAAGATAACGGGGGCGGTGTCTGCGAAAGTCCCCATCAAACAGCATTGACGTCAGGCGTGTTAGATCTGAGACTTTTGGCATCCAGGACTGGTCCCAGCTACGCTGCAAGTTTTATTTTCAAGGATACATTGGCGTAAGTCTGGTACCCAGCAGACCTACTTTTCGCTTTCGTTCAGCGCAACAACACTCAATCGAGAGACAGAGAGAGAGCGAGAGAGATAGAATCACCGAAAACAAATGTTTTGTGTATCAACCGCGGCAAATACGGCCTTCTGCATCAGGGCACAGCATTCAATGACACCTTCTTCGCTTAGTGCGCAGCCCGACGATCGTCGTTTGTTTTCAGGGATACCTCACATTTTGTGGTCACACGGTTTGAACCAATGCGGCGGGTATTTCCAGTAGCCCCTGTTGTTTTTGATTTGGTCTTCATTTTCCAAGGCCCACGCCAGCATGCGTTGCCATCGTCGAAAGCACTTTACATTTCCCCTGCAGTATCCACCCACCACGGTAGTGCACGGTTTGTTTCGGGGTGGTATCTGTCACGACGGTTCGTTTCGTTCGGGAACGGACCATCGGGTACGTTTCGCACATAACGAGGCCACCACGACTTTGCGTGGTGTTGTTTTGGATGGCATCTGGCTGCCTTGCCACATATTTTTTTCGGGGACCCAGCTTCCAAGCCGCCTCGTCGACACAATACTGGTAGCTCTCGCAGCCCAAACCCGGAATGACAGCCAAAGATGTACAGTTACGACCAGCACTAGTAGATTGTACACAACCAAGAAAATGGAAAATATCACCGTCTATCTCTTCGCGGTCTCTTCTCAACTCAACATCGGAGCAGATATCTTTAAAGTTCACGCGGATACTAAATATGGGGTACCATTCAACACATTGGGAGTAGCCGTGGTCGTTTGTGCTTAAGCTGGTAGTCAGTCTAGTATTGGTTCACAGAGTAAAGGCTATGCCCACTGCAGCTGCCAGCAACGCTTTTCTTTTCTTTTTCTGGGACAAGGGCAAAGTTTATCAATCGATTGAAGAATGTGAACAAGAGGAGCTGTACGTAAGCCTTGAACTAGGGAGAGTCTAGCACAGACTTATCCTGTTGCCGCCTGCGTCACAGACATATCCAAACGCTTGTTAAACATGATTGCTTCCGGAATTCTGCGGCATTTGGGAAGTATACTTTTGCGGCGCACTTGTATGAAACCACATAAGCACATGTTTCGAGGTGAATGGTTTGTTGGCAATGGTGCACGATTTCTTTTGGCCGTTTCCACATCACCATGGTTATTTCGCAGTATATGCACTGCGCTAAAGGTACCGAAGTGCCAGACAACCACCAATATAACAGGGGGCGCGACGGTGTAACGATGAATGCCAGCTAAGGATCACGTGTATCACCGCTTTTCAATCCCTCCGCTTCATTCGAGAAGAGTCCTTGGTTGATGCAATCCTTGTCATGCTGCACACAAGCTCCATGTCATCTGCTGGGTTGAAGCTGAGATCGGCGATTGTTCTGTGACATTTGCAGTGAGCCTTGCGTACGATATACTGTCAGAAGCTTGTCCCCCCTCTATGTGCCTGCCACCTACCAGTACCCTGCTACCTACAGATAGTTTCACCAGCCTGCTGCTTAAAACACACGCTGTTTCCTCGCGTGGATGCCGTTCATGCCTGATGTGCTTCTGTCGCGCAGCCCAGCGTGTCAGGCATGTCCAATGATGAAGAAGACAAAGACTGCACGCTACAGGCCACCGCAGATACCGGAGAGGAACAAGGGTCATCACGCCACGGCGATGCGATATCAGAGGTTGTAAACACCGATCAGGAGACGCAAGAAGAAGACGAGGTGGGTGTCCGAGGGTGTTTAGTCTCGTGTGGCATTGGTTGCTTGGGTTAGGGTTGGAGAACTGGATTGATTGTCTAGATGATCCATCGAGACTAATTGAAAGCAGCACGAAGCCGGAAGATCGGTTGTACAAATAGCTCTTGAGCACTTTCGATTGACATTTTGTGTACCATGGCGTCAGCGACGGGATACTGGTTCGAATCTTCTTGGGTGCACATCTTTTCTCATGACTTGGAAATTTTCCCATGGACACAAATGTGTGTCAGTCCTGAGAGCACCTTGGAGTCGATCCTTACCAAGAACCGTGTGACACGTCCATCGAATCACTCGTCCTGGCCGCAAGAGGTTCCCATTTGAGGGTAAATTCTGTGGGTGGAGAGTGTCCAGGAGGACCCGATTCGCAGGGTATCCGTCGATTGACTTTTACCAGAATCGGTACACCTTCGCATAAGTGTGTGGGATTCGAGTACAAGGATCCGAACGATAATTCTAGGCAAGATATGTACATCTGGCGGGAACTGCAACTCCTTTGGATTGTTGCTGAACAGGGGATATAGCCATAGCATCCCCCCTCTCAGCAAGGAGCGGCCCGCGCCCCCTTCTGTTCAGTCTATCCGACGCAAGTGTCAGCAAGTGCGCTGCAGTGTTAGAATTCGTCAAGCGAGAAACGTCAAAAACAAAAATAATCATGATGTCGCTCGTCTTTCCTTCCCCTCACCACCAGCTCGAACAGTTGTAGCAATTGTTATTTTCTTGCTGTTTAGCACACCGTGCGGTGACCCGTCTGTTGTTCGGTGACGTCAACAGGCCACTTCCGGGATCGATGACACGGAAGTGAAAAAAGAGCCGGAGGAGCTTGAACAAGAAGAGGAGGTAGGCTGTAGCATTCATGGCTGCTATGCTGTATTTTGATGCTAGATACGTGATGCACATCGCACCGTGAAGCTGCTGGTGGAGAGATCGTGCATTTTGCTCTAAGAGCCGATGATTATGTCATTTTGCCGAACCGTCATTACGACAGCGTTGGGGTTCTGTCTGGGTATTGTCTTCGTATCCTAGCGTGCATGTTGCTTGCGCGTTTCGAACCAACAAGCAGTACCAGTACATCCACCTGTGGTGGTCAAATGCTTCGGCTTGCTTGATAACACCTGATGGTCAGGTAGGGTACGTTTTGCTGTGTAGCCGCAGGGTCGTCTTATCTGGACGGTGCATGTGACATCAGCAAGGCTCATTATTTGAAGTTTTCGGATCACTCGCTGCAGGCAATGCCAGGCAAGCGCAAGTTCGGGGGTATGGCCAAGGCTCTCTGCCGGTACAGTGCCTGGACAGCGAGCAGCCGGCAAGCCAACCACGCTGAAAGGTAGACTGTAATACACGAGTGCGAAGTAAAGGTGTACATGAGTAAGTAACACACAGAGGCTCTGGTCAACAGCGTGTACTTGTAAGCCTTACGAACATCAGGATCAATTTCAGCTTTAGTTCCTAGCCAGCCGAAAAATCAGCCCCTAGATGTTACACACCAAACGGACCCGGTAGTTTCGATTTTTGTCCCCGCAGTGGCGTTGGCCCGCAGTGGCGGTGCAACATGATAATTAACATCCTGCACAGCCACCTAGCGGGTTCAAGCGGGTGCCCTCACCTAGACGGTAGCCCCGACGTTCAAATTTGATCAAAGGAAACCGCGATTCTCTCGCAGGAGGCCACATGCTGCGGACGTCTCGGAACACGATACGAGGTTCGCTCCTCCGCCTCTCGCAGCGCTGTATGTTTCTGCTGACAGCACACACGCAACGTAAACGCAACCGAAGCCTTCCACTGCTGTACAAACCCAGTATCCCTTTGATTACCCGTTGGTTGTCGGGTGTGCATGGTCGTCCTCGTTCTCGTTCGTGTGTGACAACTACAATCTGTGTCACATTCTCCGTCAGGGGGAGCTTGCTGATAGCGCCCTAGCGTCTGTTGGTGATTTGAGGGATTGATTGGCGCGATCGATGGCAATGGCGTGAGCACAATCAACCACCTTGAGCCAACGGCGCGGGCGAACTCGTTTCACCCAGACGTTTATTTGTTCCCTGTGTACAGGTGCCGTTTTCCATGTTGCCCCCCCCTCGGGACGTATTGAACGGCTGCTGCTGCAGATAGTGATGGAGATATCTTCTCCAGTTTTTTTCCCTGTAGACTGCCCTTGCTGGGGAAACAGACGAGGTATCGCTTCGGGCGAGGCTGGGAGCTACACCTGTAGTGTTTTGCTTGTTGCTGCTGCCGTGCTTCTTACGGTGATCACGGGAACTATCGCTAGGACCCCTATACCCACAATCACTTCTCCCCACCTCCTATTGCGAAGCATTGAATTTTTGACGGTTACGAGCTGAATTCAAGTGCAGAACGACGGATATTGTTTATGGCCAGGGAAGGGGGGGGGGGGGGGGGGG